GCGAACCTCACGGTTCGCTTGCTGGAGCTGCCGCTTCAGGTTCTGCCGCTGTGTTTTGAGCGAAACCAGCCGATCGGCGGCTGGGTGCCTCACGACTTAAATTCATCAGGAAGTGGTTGGAGGTCTGAACCAGTCTGGTGCCAAGTATAGCCTTTCCAAAAATGATAAACATTAATGTCCAGATGCGGCCCAAACAAAATCACGTTGCTTGTGGGCGCTCCCAAACATGATCAGCGTACTATGTGCGTGCCGGCGGTGCGAACCAACAGATATATGATGGCGGGGCGCCTCGCAGCCGGAGCTGCTGCTGCTGTTGCTTCTTCATCAGCGGCTGCGTCAGACATGGCAGTCGGGAGTGTCTATATAATATATAAATATTGGGGACGAGTGCTTGAGCAACATGTACTGCCCCACGGACGGGCACCGACGGCGCCCGACGGCGCGAATTTCCAAACCGAAAAATGGACCGTCTTCCAAGTTCAGCAGTTGCACCCCTCGAAGTAGTTAAATATGCAGTATATATATATACACATTGCATACGTATACTTCTTGCAACGGATCCGGGACGCCAAAACTCCGGCCAGCCATGCAGGAGAAGCACCAAAGGCTGTGAGGGGTCGCCTTTCGGTGCCGAGTAGGGAGGGAAAATCACATGCCCTGGACACTGCTGGGTGCTTGGAGACTCCAAAACCCCAAAGCTTTCGTAGAACCTGATGTCCCAAGCCTTTCTTCACCTGTCTGAAACCCTTTCAAGCTGTTTGGAATGGCCCCTTTTCATTCTGGCCAGAAAGAATCAAAGGCTTCAGCAATGGAAATTCATCTTAGGAGCTCGAAGAAAAGGACATAACAAAGGAGCCAAATATGACCGGGAAGCACTCACCACCGTGCCCCCAGAACCCTCATCTCCACAGCAAAATATAATGACCGTCATGGTCGGATGAAATAACACGTTCCGGCAACTCGGGCGACATAGCCCTGAAAACCTCATTGAGTATATTGAGTACATTCCGACTCACTAACATGGAAGTGGAACATGGCAAATGGCCTGTTGGATGACTATTCTCCTCTACAAACAGGTGGCTTTCCACTTCCATGTGATGTGTTCGTCAGAGGGTATTGTTCCCCAACAGCGAAGCTAGGGGTCTTCAGCCATAGTAAAGGCTCCGGAGGAGGTTCCGGAGCAGGTTCCGGAGGAGGAGGTTCCGGAGTATAGCTTCCGGAGGAGGTTCCACAGCAGGTTCCGGAGGGACATCTTTTCGCGACATCTTTTTTCGAGGGCTGGGTTTTCTTGGTCGCTTCAACTGCGGAACTTGCCGGCCGCGCGCCGTGTGCTCAAAGAATTTTGTGGGTTCGTTGGTTTTTGTCTGACTTGCGTGACTTGCCTTGTAGTGGGACATCGAATGATCACTGTGCTTCAACGCTTTCTATTCAGGAAGCTTGCCTGGCAACCGTTTCACTGTATTTCGGAGCTGTTGGGGATTTTTCTTGGGCTTATTTTTGTATGATCAACTGACCCGTCAAATGACGTCCGTTCCTGACCTGTGGAATCCTGTGGTTATGTCGCTTCTCGGCGCTGCCTTCTTCAGCGATCCTCATGCGAATGCCATTGACCTCCACCATCCGCAAATGGGCGGAGGACTCTGCCATGGCCACAGGAGCGAGGAGAACTACCAAGAACAAACACTGGGTGTTATTCCAGTAAAAACCCAAACTGGTACGTTTGAGCTTCACTTGCATGGGTATCACAGGGCTAGCTGCAAAGGCTAACAACGGATCTTCGATCAAACCAGAACACTTTTTGGATATGATTAAGCTTAGTTTAGCTTTTAAAGTCATGATTTAAGCGATCCAGGCGATGCATGATAGGGGTTCCATACTGGGTTCCATATCTCCCCAGCACTAAGTCTCAGCAGTGGTAAATGAGTGAACTTCCGGCTTAAACAGAATTTGGAAGCACATGATGGATGATGCGAGCGTTTGCAGAAAAAAGACTGTTGAAGAGGAGACTGGCGAAAGTAGTATGCCGGTCATCTACCTCACTCTACCCAAAAATGTTAAGTAGTGTCTTTTTCGGGCCGGTCTTTTCTGAAACTACCCTTGCTTTAGGCAGCAAAAACTGATTGCTACAAAAACACTCGATATACTTGAAAGGCTTTGATTTGTGGCTTCTACCTTGTGCTGTGCACAGCTGCAACAACAAAGACGGCCAAAGACATCCCTCCATTTCAGCGCACATGGGTTTGCTAGGTTAGTCTGAAGGAGGGGGCCACGAGTCCTAGTCTATCCATCACCTCTTGGATTACAACTATACACATCTACAAACATAAATACCTGGAAACCCGAAGAACACTGCACAAATGGATGTTTCCTCAAACAAGGTTCTCAATCAAGCCATCTTGGGTTCCACCCATTTGTTTCTGGTTGTGACTGGGTGACCAGGCCTCCAGGTGTCGGGACATTCCCAGAGTTGGACCCTAAAGGATCAAGAACAGGGTAAGTGTCATGTGAAGACCTTCATTTCAAGCAAGGGGTGGCACCAAACTCATCCCGTCTAACAGCAAATCTGTCATCCGCGGACAGGTTTGAGCTTTGATTTTTGCTTCTGAACTACAATCTCCACATATTTGTTGCCCTGTTTTTTGGCCCCGGGTTTGTAGATGAGATATTTGCCAAATCTTCTGTGTCCAACACAAGAGCAAAAACCAAGGCAAACACAATCAAAAGAAGAGATCCAAAACACCAGAACTTAAATAAAATGGAGAAACCTTAGCTTATACTCTTAGCTTAGACGTTTATTTGGAGGATCCATATTTGGAAAGTGTTTGCAAGTTGATAAGTTTCCAAGTGTTTCCTGCCAAAGGCCTTACTTCAACTGTAGGAAAGGTTTTAATTTGAGTTTTT